GGTGTGCTGACCCTGTGATTTCCCCAAATGTGGGAAACTCGACTGCATAATTTGTGGTAGTGGGGGACTGCGTTCATGCTCTCCCCTGAGGGGGAAAAAGAGTTGGACCGCCAACTGCAAGATCAGCAGTTATAACCCACCAGACACTCTGAGGGAAAAGATTTACGGCTTCAGAAACTCACAGAGGTCGTTCTATTCTGCCCTACAGGGTGCTAGGAGTCAAAATCAACTCGATGGCAGTGAATTTGAGTGGCATCTAAAGATGACCAGGTGATTGAGTTCTAACAATGAGATGTACATAGAAGTAGATATTTCTGGGAAATCTCCCTGAAGAGTGACAGACTCTTTCCTAAACTTCCTCAGACAGAAAACCAAAACAGAACTGTATAGGATGATTTCAGTATCGTGTTGGGTAATGAAACTAGGACATATGAACAGTGAATGTGAAAGATCTTGGTTTTCTAACACTGTGAAATGACTATTCCAACTTGGAATGCCTGACTCCACAGTTTAATTTTTTATATTGGAAAGAAAACCAAAAACCTTATATATATTATAGTATGTTCATCAATGCATCGGTACCTAATCTGAATATATGTACACATAAGAGGAAAGAGTGCCCGAAGGGCAATCCCCAAACGTGAACATGTGCTTCAAGACACACATACACAAACCAAACTCGGCAAAGAAATGAAAGCTCACCCCTTCTTCAGGCTAGAAAGACATGAGCTGCATACACAGGGAGCACGTAAGAACGTCTCCTTTAACTGTGACCTCAATTGTTTCCATGAAATAGACACCAGAACGTTCAAAAGACAAAGTCGAATGTGAGGTTTTTCTGCTTTGGCAGTCACGGTGGGACCACAGAGGTGGTTAAGAGGAACAGGAAAGATGATTGATGCTGGGGTTTTGTTGTTGTTTTACTTCGTATCAAAGAACCAAATTTTCATTTAATTTCAATTACGTTAACTCACAGTAACCCTACAAGGTAGAACTGTAAATGATGGTTTTGAATGGCTCACTTTGTGACTATTGGCCCAACATGTGACCACTGCACCACTAGGGCTCCCTGACACATCAGGGAACAAAACGTGTTAATTCTAGGGGGAAGCCAAAGCAAATTTCCAACCCATGGTTCAACTTGTTATTAAGTTAAATAGGTAAAATTTTCAAAATCCTCTAATTTGTGCTTACATGTGTGACTCTTATCGAATTTTCTCAGATTGGTACCACCTTTTGCTAATTTAACCTGAACTGTAGATTGTGAGCTTGAAAGGAACATCTGCCACCTGGTGGTAGATGGCCTGTAACAGCAATAAAATAAACACCTGCCCGTCTGTCATTAACATCATCCATTCTAAAAGGACTCAAGAGATTTGGCCAACCCTAATAACCAAAGCTCACAGCAACCCTATAGGACAAGGTTTCGGAGACTGCAATTCTTCACAAGAGTAGAAAGTCTCATCTTTCTCCCAAAGGGTGGCTGCTGGTTTCAAACCACTGGCTTTGTGTTTAGTAGCCCCAAACCATTAAACAACCAGGGCTCTATGAGTTGGAATAAACTTGATGGCATCAAAAGGGAGTCCTGCTAGTACACCGGTTAAAATATTCAGCTGCTCATTGTGAGATTGTTGGTTCAAACCCACCAGCCGTTCTGTGGGTGAACTATGTAGCGGACTGCTTCCACAAAGATTACAGCCGTAGAAACGCAATGGGGCAGTTCTACTAATTGTCACTATGAGGTGGAATGAACTTGATAGTGGGGGCGGAGGGTGGGATGGGGGATGGAAGTGGGGATGTTGAATACCAAAGAAAAAAATTTAAGCTTATTTTAAAACAAGAATAATAGAAAAGGTTCTTTAGAAATATGATCTAGATTTAAGATTTAGGAGTGTAATATAATATCCTATACAGTATAGAAGTGCTGTCTATAAAATTGTTGAGATATAGCATATTGCTACTGCCAATATTTCTAGAATCAAGAAGTTTATTCTCTGGTACTATAGATTGCTAGAAATTCATAGCTTAAATTTAAAATGTGTCTTCCAACCAAGAAATCTCATTTTATTATCTAATAAAGCATAGAAAAGCATGTATCTTCTGAACCTTGACCTCAAATATATATCTTCGTTTGGATCTTTTCCATTTTAAACACTTCATTGTCTCCTACTGACTTGATTGCCAAATCCCTTAACCCTATCTTCTAGGT